CACACAGGGGGAGACCTTGGCCTTAGGAACCTGTGTCTTCCAATCGGGGACAGAAGCTCCGGTGCCAGGATCCAAGGCCTGCAGTCCAGGGATCGGGGACGCTTAGCTGCTTTAGGGGGTGGTCCCATACTCAGCTTGCCCGTAGATGCCTGGTCCGTCACCTGGCTTGGCGTCTGTGGTGCCATTTGGCCTGCTTGCTCTTTGGCCACCAGGCCCACTTCGGGCACAGATGACCCTACTAGGGGCTGGGACCTCCTGCTGCTCCCAAGAGTCAGAGGCAGGATCCTGGCTCGACTAGGAAGTCCGACCTCAGCGGTACCCCCAAGCAGCTCTGGGTTGGGCACGTTACCAGACACAGGTCCTTTGCCCAAAGCCCCCTTTTTCTACGATGCAGGTGGGCCAATTGATTTCAACCGCTTCTTAGGCACCAGAGAGGAGAAACGGTGCTCGGACGGTACTGGTGCCAGTGGTGCGCAACGTGCTGACGCCGAGGTGCTGGGCGTGGAGTCTGAACAAAAGTGCTCTGAGGTAGGACGAAGCGCAGCCTCCATGAGGAGGGCCCTCAAGCGGATATCTCGTTCCTTCTGAGTTTGAGGGTGAAAGCTTTGGCAGATCCTGTGCTTATTCTTTTTGTGGGACTCCCCCAAACACTTTAAACAGCTCTCGTGGGGGTCACTAATGGGCATCGGCCAGCTGCACAATGAACATGGCTCAAAGCCAGGGGAACAGGGCATGCCTTGCTCTGAGGGGAAGTCCCAGCTGGAACTTTAACTCCTAAACAACTACTCTAACATTTAACTTAAAAGGTCTAACTAAGTACCTATCAACTAACAACAAAGGAGACAGAACAATGGATTATAAGCATTCAAACACTCTTGCGATGCAAGACAAGGCACTCCGACCAACCGTCAGGGGCAGTAAGGAGGAACTGAGAGGGTGTCGAGTCGGCAGTGCCTACTATACCAACGCATGAGCCCGGCACTCGAGAGCGCTACAGCCGACCCTACGGGTACCACTAAGGCAAAAACCTCCAACTGTGCACACATCTAGAATGGAATTGACATAAGCAAGCACTCTAAGAGGAACCACAGTTACAAAAGGTAGGCAACCGTCTCCCCCCGCCCTCGAGTGCTTGCTCATGTCAATCTCATTCTAGGTGACTCATAAGCAGTTTCCCTAGAGGCGGGCTCAGAGTTGACGGTTATTCGGCTTCCAACACTGCTCTGCCAAAATCAACATTGTCTCGGGCTTGCTGGGTAAGTGCATAATCAGATGTAAACGTCTGGACAGACAACTGTGTAGCAGTCCTGCAGATATCCTGAATTGGCACCTGGGCCAGGAAGGCACTGGTAGAGGCATCTGCTCTCTGGGCACCAGGAGAGCCTCAGAAGACATCAGCCCTGCCTCCAGTCTTGATCCCCTACCGCTCCCTGGAGTTGGTGGCGGATCCTTCAGGGGGCTAGGGGACCCATCGGGGGGCGGGGGGGTGGGTTATCCCCATGTGGCTCCTGTGTGGGCTGGCGGCCTGAACCAGGTCCTTTGCCCTTCTTGCTCTGTGCCACAGAGTCGCTCTTCTTAGGCACCGGCACTCAAGAGGGCGCCACAGCCAGCCCTACGGATACCGCTAAGGCAAAAAATCTCCAACGTCTGCGCACACAGACATGTACAGACCTAGAATGGAATCAATGTGAGCAAGCACTCTAAGAACCACCGTTTTCATTTTTTGTTTTGCTGATAAAACCACAAAAATTTATTTATGGTCTATCCAAAATGAAATTGTTTTGATTTTTCACAGTTTTTAACTGTAAAAACAATGAGGAGTCCAGTGGCACCTTAAAGCCTAAGATTTATTTGGGCATAAGCTTTTGTGGGTAAAAAACTCACTTCTTCAGATGCCACTGGACTCCTCGTTGGTTTTTGTGGATACAGACTAACACAGCTACCCCTCTGATACTTGACAGTTTTTAACCGTGAATTTCCACAAGTCAGTTGTAGAGTAAAACATACACTTGAATGTTTCAACATCCAAGGTAGGATGAAAACGTTTCAACACCTTATTCTGCCTACATACTGAAAGCAAATTAAGCTTTCATTTTTCTTGCTTTTTGTTTACTAACATATCCTTAACTTTTAATATCTTAATATCAGTGAACGTGGTAAATTTGTAAGTGCTAGACTTGAGTGTAATTCCTGGGCTATATAATGGACTCAAAATGACATTCTTCCAAGGTTTGGGACTGGCTACATCTACATTAAGTCCTAAATCAATGCCAAAAAAAAGCACTGCTAGACTGGAGGAGATATGGGGTTATGTGTCAATTTAAACATCAACATTTCATGAAAGGCTAGGGCTAGAAATATAGATGTATACCATCAAAAAACCAGGAAAACCAGCTTGGAAATTATACAAAGTCTCTAACCCTCAGAGCTGGCTAAAGTACTCTATTAAATATACTGTACTTGAACAGAGTGGGGGAGCAAGAGAGTAACAAGAATGACTAAATTTTTAAGTGTGGGTCACTTTAAATATTTTTTATAATTTTGTTGTAATTGAGTAATGATTATAAAACTTCACTAGTTTCACATCCCCACCTCCTGAGGACTTGGTATTGCTTTTATTGCGTGCACTGCGCAGTCACAAGAAAGTTATTTGCACTAAACGTTCGCACCTCCACTGTGGTACTCTGTCACTTGAGTCTGAAAGACAGAAGGTCACTTGTTTTCACATTCACAAGAGGGCTGACAATGATCCAAGGAAGTTACATAGAAAACTTCAACCTAAATCAGTTATTTTATCAGTATTTATTATTTTTTCAAGGACTCAAGTGTGCTTAGTGCTTCACACAAGTAAGAAACAGCCCATGTCCTGAGGAGTATACACCAAACATAAATCTGATTACTAATGATAAGATGTCACGGAGGTCACAGATTCTGTGACTTTCAGAGACCCCTGACATTTTCCGCTTCAGTCCCCAGCTGAGGGAGAGGGAGAGACACCGAACAAGAGGCACCCAGAAGGCCCAGTCGCCGGGACTGCGGGTGCTAGGCCCACCTCCTCCCGTAGCATCCCTCAGTCAGGTGCCTCCCTCATTATTTTTAGTAACAGTAAGAAGGGTCAGAGGCTTCCATGAATTTTTGTTTATTACCCGCGACCCTGTCCTTGACTTTTACTAAAAATAACAGTGACAAAATCTTAACCTTACTGATTACACAAGAAGTGATAGTGATAAAAGGAATGGGTGGGGAGGAGAAGACAAGGTGTGACAAGAGCAATAGGCAATAAGTCTGTAAGACATATCTTGATGGTGATTAAAAAAAAAAAGTAAAGAGGTACCCTTAATGAGTAGATAATGAGTTTTTAGTAGAATCTGAGTAAGGTACAGATGGTAAACAGCTTTTAGAAGGGCATAACAAGCCTAATGAGCAATGTGGAAGAAGGTAGACACATTTGAGAGAAAATGATGAGAGGAGGCTGGAGAGGAGGCTAGAAATTTATATTTTACCGACACAGATACACTAGTACTTTAGAAGTGCAGTATCTTTGGGCTACAAACACTTAGGCATATTAATAAGCTTTCCCAAGCACTAGCCCTCAACCAGTAATCAAATCAGAGAGAAAGAGTCCAATCCTTGCAAACAGCTAGCCAAACAGAAATGTCATGTAAGGACTAAAATATACCAAGCATATTACAAATGTTCTTTAAACCTGAAGGCATAACCAACCCAAACTTTTCGGACAATGAGAAGCTGAGTCTCATAGTAGCTTATTTTGTTTAACAATTTAGATTTTTTTTTTTTTTTTTTTAAATAAGTTTAATTTTTTCACCCTCCAATATTAGGACAAACATGCTTTTATGATTGTCCTACAGAATGTCCTACAAAATTAAGTTAAGAATTTTTAAAATACTCTTTGTACTAATATCGGTTTTCCTAACGGTTTCTAGTCCTATTATTCAAAATAGATTTTTTTTTTTAATTGTTTTCAAAACCAAAATTAAGAACATAAAAAACAGTTATACTTTGTCAGACCAATGGTTCATCTAGCCCAGTATCCTGTCTTCCAACAGTGACCAATGCCAGGTGCTTCACAAGGAATGAACAGAACACGCAAAAAAAAAAAAAAGAAAGAGTGACCCACTAAGGCAGGCTCCCTGCCTGCCCCAGCCCCACGCCGCTCCCGGAAGCGGCCAGCATGCCCCAGCGAGACGGGAGGTTGTTTCCACACGCTGCTCCTGCCTGCAAGCTCCGTTCACTCAGCTCCCATTAGCTGGGAACGGGGAACTGCAGCCAATGGGAGCTGTGGGAGCGGTGCCTGCAGAGGGGCAGTGCACGGAGCCATGTTTCCCCTCACCAGGTGCCACGGGAGAGGGTTGGCCCCTTCCGGGGAGGGGGGGCGGGGGGGGCGAGGGAGGGAGGGAGGGAAGAGGGATGATGACGACAACAACATGGACGGATGGACATTGGCCGGGACAGGCAGGAAGGGAGCCTGTCTTAGCCCCACTGCGCCACCACCTGAGATAAGTACCGCCTGGTGGGAACCCCCCCAGCCCTGAGCCCCCTCCTGGAGCCAGCACCCCAAACCCCTTCATGCACCCCAACACTCTGCCCCAGCCCCTTCCTGCACCCAAACTCCCTTCCAGAGCTTGCACTCCTCATACCCTCCTGCAACCCAACCCCCTGCCCCAGGTTCAGCCTGGAGCCCCCTCCCACACTCCAAACCCCTCTGCCCCAGCCCAGAGTCCCTACCCCCTCCTGAACCCCAACCCCGCTGCAGCCCAGTGAAAGTGAGTGAGGGTGGAGGAGAGCAAGCAACAGAGGAAGGGGGTGATGGAGTGAGTGGGGCGGGGTTTTGGGGAAGGGGCAAGGCCTCGGGGAAAGGGCGGAGTAGATCCTGGGTTGCACCTAAATTCAAAAAGTGATCTTGTGCGTAAAAAAGGTTGTAGGCCACTGAGTTAGTTATACTCAAATTCTGCAATAGCATGAGTGCAAATTTGGCTTACCTTCAGCAATTGCTCCTAGAACCAGGATACCTGATTCTTTGACCACCCATTCTGGATGAAACAGCAGTTCTTTCAAAAGGGGCAAAATGTGTGGCAGAAGTTCATCACGAAATACATTGGCAAGGACATCTAGTGCAGCAGCAGAACACTTCCCTGAGAATTAACATACCGTAAATCTGAATGTATTATAATACCAATTACTACATTGTGTCTCTTCATTTCAAACTACCTTAGCCTCACACTAACATTTTAGGGCAATGGGGGAGCAGAGGAGCAATGCTTCTGTTTCACTGTAGTGTGTAAAGGGCCCATTGTATTCTGGAACCACAAATCACATTCCAGGGAAAAAGTAACACTGCATTTATGGGCTAGACAGCCATGGACGGGCAGCTTTCTCTACTCAAGATCAAATAAATAACCGTAGAACAGAGATTAAACATTTGTGGATTAGTTGCAGGGAAAAAGTATTCCATTTCACAAAATAGTTACCATTAAGCAATCACAAAATGGAGCAACGCTAAAAGTGGGAAAGACTAAGTTGTTAGTGAGAAGAGTGATACACTTCAATTCTCATGAAATAGTTTCACGCTCATATCAAGTACAAAGATTTATCATAATTTTGTACAGTAACTCCTCGCTTAACGTTGTAGTTCTGTTCCTGAAAATGCTACTTAAAACAAAATGATGTTAAGCGAATCAAATTTCCTCACAATTTAATACTGTACACAGCAATGATGATTGTGAAGTTTGGTTGAGGTGGTGGAGTCAGAGGGTGGGATATTTCCCAGGGAATGCCTTACTGCTAAATGATGAGCTAGCACTCGGCTGAGCCCTCAAGGGTTGACACATTAAGGCAGCATTAACATAGAGTGTGAGGCTACACAAATGGAGGGAGGACACACAATAGAGCATGGCAGTGGCTGGAAACATCTGCTGCGAAAACTGAACGTGATGATGAACCCACGCTATCCCATTGGAGCACACCACTCCCTCCACTTTCCAAAGTGCCGGGGGGTGCATGTGTGAGTGAGAGTGAGAGTGATGCGCACTGCCCTTTAAGAATGCTGACTCCACTCTAAGTACACTGCCTTTTTAAATAGATCAGCAAGTTGAGACAGCAGCTGCTGGCAACAAGCTCCCTCCGTCCTGACCCCTCTGCTCTGTGGAGATGGAGTACATGAGCAGGGGACACTCTGACATCAGCACCCCTCTTTCCCCCCCCACCCCCCTCCACCAAGCAGGAGGCTCCTGGGAGCAGCTCCAAGGCAGAGGGCAGGAGCTGCACACGGCAGTGGGGGAAGGGACACCTGAACTGCCCAGCAATTGATAGCTTACTGGGAGGCTGCTGCACAGGGGACTTAAGGGGGCTGCCAGCCCACCCTGGTTCCAAGCCCCCACCAGCTAGCTCCAAAGGGCTGCTTTTCCTGCAAGCAGTGGACAAAGCAGGTGGCTGCCAAACAACATTATAAGGGAGCATAGCACAACTCAAGGGTGAAAGTAAGCCGGTACAGCTTTAACATCGCTGCCCCTTTTGCGCCCCCCTGCCAGGTCCCTACCGGGGGGGGGGAGGGGCAGTGATGTTAAAGCGCTGCCGCAGCAAAGGACCCTGCTTAAAGTGCTGCTGCAGCAATGCTTTAATGTTATTGTCCTTTTTGCCCCCCCCCCCCCGCCGCCGCCGCAAGGGGGGGCGCCCCAAAAGGAGCAGCTGCCTCGGGGCTGGCGATTTAAAAGGGCCCCGACTGCAGCTACCGCAGCAGCAGCCGAAGCCCCGGGCCTTTTAAATCACTGCTGGAGCCCCGGGCAGCGTGGGCCAGGCAGTGTGGAAGGGCTGGCTGGGGGACACTGACCCAGCCCTGCCCCCGTATCGGTAAGTCTTCAGCTTTACTTTCACTCCTGTTGCAATTTAAAACGAGCATGTTCTCTAATAGATCAGCAACGTAACAACGAAACAATGTAACCTGGGACAACGTTAAAGTGAGGAGTTACTGTATTTGGAATATGACAAAACTATAGCATATATATTCATTAAGCCTGCTCAGATACTAGGACAACAAGTTGCCGACCAACCTTTTCAAACCATTTAACTTTCTAATCTGCTATATATAGAATCAGCAATTCCGAGATTATGCAATCAGACAATTAGAGGAAACTTCACATATAGTACCAGCATATTTCCAGTTTAGGAATAATTATACGACTTTTCAGTCAGCTAAATATATATAAGGATAACTATTCCACTTACAGTAATGAATGCAACAAAATCAAAAAAGAAAAAAATCCAGATTAAACTGCTTTATAGAAATATACAAGCTAATATTTGGACTGTCTCTGGAAAAGATCAATCATGAGCCTGAATCTACTTTTGGATTCTGAAAGTGAAAGGAATTCCTGGAACATGGGTGTCAAATATATCACAACATAATGTGCAACAATTTTCTATTTGCATCTGGATTATTTTTCAACAAAATATTCTGTGTTTTTCTTAGAGACCCAATCACAGTCGCCAACTTTCACAGGGTAAATAAGCACCCCGACTTTCTTAATAAGCCAAAAATCAAGCTATCCCATTTCAAAACAAGGCCAAAACAAGCCAATCCCTAAAAACCCCAAAACTATGTGACTAGAGCCCCCTGGCGTGCAGTCTGGGACTGTGGTGGGCCCACTGTGCACCCTGACTCTCTCCCACCTTACCCCCACTTGCCAGGAGCTGAACAAAAAAAAAAAAAGGCAACATGCTACAAGCCAAAAAACAACTCACGCCAATTAAGCCAAAAACGAGCCCAATTTCTATGTTTTTTAACCCACAGGTTTGGCATGTCTGGCCCCAGTTACTAGGATCAATTTGTTACCTGATAATCTCAGCTTGCACTTGAAAGTTTCCAGCTTTCTGGGGTGGGGGGGGAACCCACACACAAAATCCTTGAAACAGAATTTTTCCAGCAGCAGGGAGGCAGAAGTGGGTATTCCTGCTTGTGACTCTCCATGGTGCATCCCAGAGGTGGCAGGTCATTTCTATCCCAGTGAATGGGGGACAGGGGAAGGCATCTCACTGATGGTGAGGGTAACAAATGCCACCTGCATGAGCTGCCAGAGCCAGCTCAGCAAGATGAAGCAGCACATGACACCAGCCAGCCTGGCCCAGGTCAGGGATCAGAGCCTGGCCCATACAAGAGGTTTTCAAACCATGGGCCATGCCCAAAAGGTGGGCCACAACAGTCCTAGCACCAAGCACTGTGTGTCCAGGTCAGTTTCCTCACATGGGCTGGGTAAGGGGAGGGCGGGAGAGCAGCTCCTGACACCTCACAGCACAGCCCATGTGGGGAAACCAACCTGGATGCACAGAGCGCCTGACATTGCCACTCACCACCCTGTCCCCAAACCCGCCGGGGGGGGGGGGGGGGAGAGGGGGGGAAGGGGGAGAGAGACAGAGGTACATTCAGGGGGGAGAGCAGTGACACCAGGCACTCTGTACACCCCATGTGGGCTGGGTAACAGCTGCCGCACCCTCCAGGCTCAGGTAGGTGTAAGTCCTTGGTGCCCACGAACCACTGGGTGCTGGTGGCCAGAGTGACCATGTAGGACAGCAAGGTGCACACAGCCAGAAGGAGCGGAGCTGTCCCCACTGTGCCAACTAGGGGCTGAGTGCATGGATGGGCCCCGCAGCAGTGGCACCCCCTCAGACACAGCCCCTCCCTGCACCCTGAGCTACCCCCCTGCCTGCACACAGCCCCTAGCAACCTGTCTTCTCCCTCCATCCTGAGCAACACCCCTCCCGGCACACAGACCCTAGCTATCCACTCTCTGCACCTTGAGCTGGCTGAAAGGTTGAAAACGGAAGGTATCAGGTTGACCCTCATTAACATATGTCCCCAGATGGAAAAACTGTGCAAGGAGAAGCAGGCACATCCATCCCATTAAGAATACTCCTGGTCTGTAAGTTATTTTATATTTTTATTTACAATGTGATTCTTTTCTAATTAGTAGAGAATAGGGTTGGGTCTTTACTTACACAGCACAATAGTTTAGATTTTACCCTAAAACTATTGAAAACACAATATAGTGTTCAAAGTTGGACAATATTTTGTTTTAAAATCAAACAGCACAACATGTTCTAACAATTTTGTTAACATTGTTGTGTTGCTTATTGTTCAGTTTTATACAAAACTGTTTTCCCTGTTTAAAAAAGTTGAGCAAAATGTGGTGTTCAAAGTATTGTTTTACTAAAACGGTTTCATTTCAAAGGTCTTGAAGCATTTGAGTGCATATTGCTAGAGATTTCTATTGCGAGGGGGGAGGCATAGCTCAGTGGTTTGAGCATTAGCCTGCTAAACCCAGGGTTGAGAGTTCAATCCTTGAGGGGGCCACTTAGGGATCTGGGGCAAAATCAGTACTTGGCCCTGCTAGTGAAGGCAGGGGGCTGGACTCAATGACCTATCAAGGTCTCTTCCAGTTCTAGGAGATAGGATATCTCCATTAATTTAATTACAATTGTTAACATTAAAATGAAACATACATTGTTTATTACAGCGTTCTAGTTTATATTTAGATAATAATTAAAATTAATAATTTCCCTCATGAAGTGTTAATAGTGGGCTGTGGTGCCTACTGCAGCTGCACAGGTTAAAAAAAAGTTTGCAAATCCCTGGCCCAGACCACTGATGCGGTTTTCTGACTGGTTGGCAGGGAGAGAGGAGTGGCACTGACATGCCAATTATGAGTCCCAGCCTCGCCCACAGTGGCCCCAAAAGTCTTGGGAGAGACACTGAAGTGCCGGCCTGCAAGGAGCTAAGACCAAGATCCATCCCCCCATCGGGACCAGCACCAATGCTGCTTGAAACATGAGCAAGGGTGTGAGGAAGCAGAGAGATCGGAATGGATCCCGGTCACAGCATCAGCTGGTGAGAAGCTGAGACATCTCCCCTGGCCCTACATGGCCGCTGTGGGGTGGGCTGGGGCTTCTAGTCGCTTCAGCACTGCCCCCTTTCCCCCCTGCCAGCCAGAGAAGAAGCAGTAAAACCAGTCTGGACTGGAGCTGGGGACCTGATCCCTGCCCTGGGACCAGGTCGGCTGACACCAAATGATTCATCTATTTGCGGAGCTGGTTCTTGCTGTTCATCCAGGTGGCTTTTGTTACCCTGTCCATCAGCAAGACATACACCCCCAGCCCATCCTCCACCCCAATTCCATGGGATAACTGGGCTGATCTCATCCTAACCACCCAGCACCTCAGAAGAGAGGCAGAAGTCCTGCTGATGGAAAAATTCACAGCTGTTTGGGAGGTGGGGGACTCTGCAGCATGCATATCCCCTCAACACACATTTACCCATGACACTACTGGAGAATTTAAAAATCTGTGCTTTTCTCAGGGCCTTAAATATAAAAGATTAAAGCACTAAAAAGTTACTTAATGCCCAGTCACATTCGGCAGATCAGCCATGGTTTGTGGTGTTGTAAGACTTTCTGGAACTTAAATTCCACTTGTTTTCCACTAAGTGAAGAGAAAGGTAAATCTGGAAAGTCTTCATTAATCTGAGCAGAAACAGCCAATAGATCCATTTGCCATACTGACCAATTGAGGTAAACATTCACATGTTTGTAACTAGTGTATTGAGCTACACAGCAGAGATTCTTTTTAAGCAACAGAAAGTGCCAAGCAATCGAAGGATTGCAGGAATGTGAACAGAGCTATCCCAAAATTAAAAATCTCAGCACTTCTGTTCAATGTACAAAAACACACAAGGAGTCAGAAAAGGAAGATTCTGAATTACATGAGCTGTAGATTTTACACTACCTAACACAGTTGTTTAACTTACTTAAATTCCAGTCAGAAATAGTATCATCATCATCAAGCTCATCATCATCGTCATCATCTTCCTCAATACCATCTTCTTCATGCTGCTGAGCCACTGTCCGTGAACGATGAAAACGAGGCCTTATGTCCTGTTCACTATCTGGAATAGCTTCATCTTCTTCAACATCCCCCTGTTAAAAGTGAAACATTAAGCATGCTCACAAGTTATTATACCATCAGATTATGAAACAGTACAGCCATCTTGACCAAGATACTATAAAAAGAGAACAAATATAGTGAGTAATATGTTCGGGAAAACTATGACAACTTCTTCAGATTCATAGCCACCTCAGGGCTGGCCAACTGACCAAAAGAGCCACTAATTATTCCTGCATTCTTGTCTAGCATTCTTCCAGAAAGATGAACGGAGAGGGAAGGAGGAAACAGAAAAGGTAGAGAAATCCTTTGTATAGTGCAGTAATAATTCTAATTCTGTGGTAGAATGGATTAATGAGAGCAACTTCTTAACTATATTCCATACTGTACAAGCTATTTCTGCTAGGTAGAATCTGCCCTAGCACAGTAATTTAGAAGTGAATAATCAAATGAATACATGCTTTGAGAAGTAAAGTGAAATTGTTGCTCACCTTCAGCAGAATAATATCTATTTCTGAGTACTTCATACCATTTACTAACACAGGTATCAACCTACAAAGAAAGGTTTTAATATGTATATGTTAAAAAATGCATAATTCAGACAACTGTCAATTTTCAATTTCCTGAGCCAAATTTTGTTTTTAGAAACTGGTTTATATCGATCAATAGGCTAAATTTTTCAAACCTACCCCTAAAGTTAAGCTCCTAAATAAAAAAAGTGGTCTGATTTTGAGAGGTACAGGCATCTGGCTTTGAAGTTTCTGACTTATAAAATTTTGACTCTATGTTACAAAATTTCTAATTTAAGTGAAGTTAATGGTATTGAATAATTGAGGAAAATCTAACAATTTAGTTTTAATCAGGTTATACGTTCGATAAAATCAGGTCTTAAGTGAAAGTTGGAACATTTTCAACATTATAAAATTAATGCTCCAGAGTGCTTCTGGGTACAGTCCAGGGACTCTCAAGCTCCCATCACATGCTGTACACATTGTTTCACCTAACCCTTCGGACAGATGGAAAAGTACTAAGGTGGCACCCACTTGTCCCAACCATCTTGCTGTCCCTACTCATATAACCACTCAACATGTTAGTCACTCCACTCCTCTGACTCTCCCACGGATCTTTCCAAAATGAAACCAAAACCACCACCTCACTAACCCAACCCACTGTACCCACCAAAAAAACATGAGCTTCACAATGAGAACATGGCTCTGCAGAGAGGGATAGTTTTAATGATCCTAGCTCAAGATTTGGGCCCAGCTTCACTACTGTTAAGAATATGACACAAAGATCCCTAATAGGCCTGGGGTGTGCATAACGTCACCTGCATTAGCCCTGCCTGGGACAGACTATAAAACCACCTACTAATCTATACTGGTCTCTTCCATTCCTCTTTCCTTATTAGTGCAGCTTTACTGCAATCCTAATCAAGTGTGAAACTGTTTCAGAACTATTGTCACAATTAATGGAAAGGTTACTTAACTTAGCTCGAGAACAGTGTCCCTGTAAGTGCTCTACTTCAAGATGTTTGCATCCCCATGCACTCTTGATCAGACATGTTCATCAGTACTGTCCACAGGTCTGCAACTGCACTCTAGGCACTCCTGCACCACTACAGTTCCTTCTCAACCGCAGACGTCCAGAGAGAAGACTGAGGCAGGAGGGCAGGTAGAGGAGCACCCATAAGGAGACACACATCTCAAAGCACTCCAGTTACTGTACAAGTAGTGTTCCTTTGAGTGCTCCACTTCAAGAGACTGTGGAGCAGCATCTCAATTACAGAGGATGGTGCTGAAGAGACAGATTCAGTATGGACAGTAGCTCAGCACCAACAAAAGCCTCATCAGCTCCAGAAGCAGGAATGATAGCACAGTGCTGGGAAAGCGTGCCTACCGAAGACTAGGTGGCTGCTTTGCATATATCTGAGACAGGTGTGCTTTTCAGTAGGGCTACAGAGGTAGACTGGGCCCTGGTGGAATAGGCAATCATCCTAGTTCAGGGGTGAATACCTGAAGCTTTAAAATAGGTTACGCTGGACTTCCAGTCTTTGGCAGAAATCAGATGCCCTTTCATTCATTTTGTAATCAGGACAAAAAAGCCTAGGAGTCGTCATATAGGATTTAGTCCTGTCAAGGTAAAGAGTTGAGAACTGTTCTTATGTCCCGTGTATGGGAGGCTCACTGCTCCTTTTGAAAAGTGAGGCTTGGGATAAATGCCAGCAGGTGAATTTCCTGATTAAGGTAGGAATTGAGGGTGTAGATATATAGTGTCACATTATTGAGATAGAATACTGTGTATGGTGGGTCAGCCATAAGAGTCATAGTTCCCCTACACTCCTGGCTGAGATGTCGGCTACCAAGAACGAGATATTGAGGGACAAATGAAGGAAGGAAAAGTTTCCTACAGGTTCAAATGTGGCTTTCCTCAGAGCATTGTGGACTAAGTTGTACATCCATATAACATACCTCAATTTGACAAGAGGAAAAAGGTTGAAAAAAAAACTTTAATAAATCTCATACAGACGTCTGGATCTGTTTGCTGAAATGTGTACAATTACATATAACCAACTGCCAATGTATCAGTGGAAACTTAGCAGTACTGTGGGGTGGAGTATATTTTTTCTGGCTATGCATGTTTCGTATTTCAGGCACTAGAATATGAAGAATTTGTATGTCCTCCACTTTTGGCCACTCTCAACCACTTTTGAATACATTTTGCTGCTCTTCTCTCAGAGAAAAACCCAAGCGGGCTTTGTGATGGGGTGGACTAGGTCCAGAGGCCCCCTGCTGGAGGCCTCGCAGCCCTGCCACATCCCACCCCAGAAAAGGGCAGTAGATAAACGACTGTGATGGCAGCTAGGTGAAAAAACAGTTACCTACCTTTCGTAACTGTTCTTCGAGATGTGCTACTCAGGTCCGTTCCATTTTAGGTGTGTGTGCACCCACGTGCACAGCCAGAGATTTTTGCCTTGGCGGTACATGTAGGGCCGGCTGTGGAGCCCTCTAGAGTGCCGCACTACATCAGGCGCTGCCGGCCCACGTCCTCTCAGTTCCTTCTTGCCGACAACTCCAACAAGAGGGGCAGGAGAGCGGGTAATACAGTGGACATGAGCAACATCTCGAAGAACAACAGTTACGAAAAGTAAGTAACCGTTTTTCTTCGAGTCCTTGCTCGTGTTGATTCCATTCTAGGTGACTCACAAGTAGTACCAATGGAGATAGGCTCGGAGTTCACTGTCATGCAGCTTGTAGCACAGCTCTGCCAAAGCCAGCATCATCTCAAGCCTGCTGGGTCAGCGCAAAGTGCAACGCGAACATATGAAGGGACAAGCAAGTGGTGGCCCGACAAATTTCTTGGATTGGCACCTGCGCCAAGAAGGCTGCCAAAGACGTCTGTGCTCTAGTAGAATGAGCCATCATGATTGCCAGCAGGGGCACCTTCACCACCTCGTAGCAATAGCGGATGCAGGCAGTGATCCAAGATGAGATTCTCTGGGCTGACACCGGGCAACCCTTCATCCGGTCTGCAACAGCAACGAACAATTGTGTTGACTTACAGAACGGCCGTGTTCTGTCAATGTAGACGGTCAATGCCCGTTTGATGTCCAGAGTACGCAACATGCACTCCTCATCTGATGCATGAGGCTTCGGACAGAGGACCGGTAAGTAAACGTCTTGGCCAGTGTGGAACTGGTAAATGACCTTGGACAGAAAAGCCGGGTGCGGACACAGCTGGACCGTGTCCTTGTAGAAGATCATATAAGGCAGCTCCGACATCAGCACCCTGATCTCCGACACCCACCAGGCCGAAGTTATAGCAACCAATAACTCCTTCCAGGAGAGAAGGCGGCAGCAGGAAGCTACGGGTTCGGAGGAGGGGCTTATGAGCTTCAAAAGCACAAGATTCAGGTCCCACCGGGGGGGGGGGGGGGGGGGACCAGGTCCTGGATGTGTGGGTACAGACATCCTAGACCTTTCAGGAACTGCACCGTCATGGGATGGGCAAAAATCCACCTGCTGAAATGGCTGCCAGGTGTACCTTGACCAAAGACAACGGCAAGCCCTGGAGCTTAAGATGCAAAAAATAGTCCAGGATGTCCTGCAGTGAGGCTTCCTCTGGACGAATGTGCTTGTCCGAGGCCCAACATGTGAAGTACTTCCACTTTGCCACGCAGGTAGCCCTGGTGGAAGGCTTCCTGCTACCCAGCAGGACCTGTTGGACCACAGCTAAGCACTCCCGCTCATCTGTACTTAGCCATGCTGTCAGGTGCAGCAATGCCAGGTTCGGGTGCAGCAGGTTGCCGTAGTTCTGGGACACCAGATCTGTCCGGAGAGGTAACTGCACGGGTCAGCCACCGAAAGACTCAGCAGCATGCTGAACCAGTGCTGTCGAAGCCACACCGGGGCTATGAGGATGACAGACGCTTTGTCTTGCTTTGCCTTTAGCAGGACCATGTGGATACGTGGTACCAGCGGAAAGGCATACATCAGCGTTCCTGACCACGGAATCAGAAAGGCGTCCGACAGGGATCCCTTGTCTCTGCCGTGCAGGGAACAGAATACGTGGCACTTCTTCCACCTGGACACAAACAGGTCCACTTCGGGAGTCCCCCACCTTCGGAAGATCAGGCTGACCACCTCCGGACGGAGGGACCATTCGTGGCAAAATGAGAAGGTCCGGATGAGGTGATCTGCCAGGACATTCTTGGTTCCGGGTAGGTGGGTGGCTACCAGATGGATGGAATGCCACATGCAAAAATCCCAGAGGCTGAGCGTCTCCCGACATAGGGCCGACAACCTGGCGCCGCCCTGCCTGCTGATGTAATACATTGTGGCCATATTGTCCATGAGGACCTGCAACGCCTTGCCTTTCAGGTGGGGCAAGAACGCCTGACAGGCCAGGTGCAACGCCTTGAGCGCCCTGACGTTGATAAGAAGGGCTAGATCATGCTGCAGCCAGCGGCCCTGGGTGTTGAGCTTGCCCAGGTGCGCACCCCAGTCCAGGTCCGACATGTCCGAGACCACGGTGAGCGATGGTAACGGGGACACAAAGGGAACTCCCTGCAGCACTGACTTGGGGGTCTAGCCACCAATCCATGGCTCGGTAGTGTGACCAGTCAGTCCAGGGGGTGCCTGCTGGGAACATAGACCATTGCCAACATGTCTGCAGGAGTTGCGGATGAAGCCAGGCGTGACTGACCACGTACATGCATGCTGCCATGTGGCCCATCAGCTGCAGCCATGTGTGAGCCATGGTGATCGGATGCCTCATGTGGGCAATGAGATCTGACAGGGCCTGAAAGCGTGCTTCCAGAAGAAAGGCCCTGGCTCGCATGGAGTCGAGAACCACTCCGATTAATGCTGGTCCAGTGCATAGAGTTTATGTGGACTTTTCTATGTTTATTAACAAGCCCAGGTCGCTGCAGCTTTAGCACACCTGATCGAGGCTTCTTTGCACCTGCTCCGGAGACCTGCCCTTGATGATCCAGTCGTCGAGATACAGAAAGATCTGGGATCCCTCTTCCCCCCACCCTGATGTCTGAGGTAAGG